TAACTTATGATCTCAAATTTCATATCAAATCGAAATAAGACAGACAAATTAAAACGAAAAAAATTTATAAAAGTATATTACTTAATGAACAAGATAAATTAAACTAATGTGAACACATGTATTCCATTAACAAAATTTATCAAAAGCAACAATTCATATGAGGATTTCCTTAAAACCGTAGTTCCAAAAACCAAGAACCCTAACAAGCGTCCAACAATAGCAACCAAGAAAACACCAACATTAAAAGACATAACAGCCAACATAACAACATAACCTAAGCCAATTCTCAAACCATACAAAGTTGTTTGAACAAATCCAACTCTCACATCATCAACATTACTATTCCATTTATTATAATTGCTATGAGAGAGAAATTCGACGAAAATCGCCATGAAAAAGATAACAACAAGTGCCAAAATGTATCCAGGCCAACTTGAGAAGAGAATCTCAGTATCCATAGTCATTTCATTTTTCTTCTCCTCTCCTAATTCTTGATTTTTGTTTGATGAATTAAGAGAGGAGAGTGAGAGTTATGAGGTATTAAAGTAAACAACAAAATGATTAATAGTACATGTATTGTAGTAAATGTACTTTTTTTTTTCTAGTACAAAATTAAAGGATGAGGTATAATTAAATGGTAGAGTTGATAAATTAGATTCTTCAAACTTTCTTTTTCCATTTAATTTAGTTAGAATAATTGTCTCCTTTGTCTTAATTTTCTTTAGATACTTGTAAGAAAATATGTTTCAACCATCATGTTTTTTTTCTTCTATCTGAACTGTTAAATATTTATGTTTTTATCTGAATTATTATTAACCATTTATTAAAACACATCTCAAATATTACTAGACCAAGTATTTAATACAATTGTCAAAAGGCACTTGACAACTTAATTTGCCTATAAAATTTCGTCCACATGGCAATTGTGATGTGTTCTGATAAATAGTTGAGACAATTTATTTAAGAAACGCAAACATTTGATAATTCAAATTAGAATTTCGTAAAAAAAAGGTGATAATTCATATGTATTTTTAATACTTGCTTTAATTTTCTAATTGAAAAATGGCATGAGATATCCTTAAAGTATTGAAAATGGTACAAAACTACCTCCATCCACCCGAAAGCGGATTCAGAATTTCAAAAAAACAAATACACCATTTCTTTAAAGATAAGATCTAAATTTTTTTAATAACAATAACTCATAGAGTAAAAGATAAAAAAAAAATAAAAAAAATTACACTCTCGATCATAGACAATGAAACTATCAAGCTGATAACTGAGATTTCTTTATCACCAAACTCACTTTTGTAATATTCCACCAACTTCGTTATTCTACTCATACTAAAATTAGCAAATGAATCAACCAAATTCAACTAGTCATACCAAGGAGTAAATCACTAGTGGTTTAGTGAAGTCAATCAAGGAGATGAAGTTGGTGAGGTAATCAAGAAACTTGTGGACTAACTCTCTGGATGGTGGCGTAACAAGGAATTTCAGGAAGGGTGTCCAAACTTTTAATAGTAATTTTTTTTTATTGAAAAAATAACGATTTAAATTACCAAAATAAATAATCAAGTTAAGCAATATTTGATTAACTATAAGAATATTTGTAGTAGATTACAAGGGTATAATTTAAAACTAACATAACGAAAATAAATTACTATTGAAAACATAATTTAAATATATTATTATAATTATACTCGACTGCCACAGAGGCGAACCCAGTATTTAAAGACTACGAGTGCACCACTATCTTTTTAAGTTTTAGTTTTTTGGTTATTGAAGGCAAAAAAAAAAGTTTAATTTTTTGGTTATCGAAAGAAAAAAAAGAGGAAAATAATGAAGTGCCTAAGTTGGATTTGAACCCACGACATAGTGGGCAATAGTAGCAACTCCAACCAACTAGCTAAAATGAAGTTTTGTGTAATGACGTGCACAGTTACCTATATCTAGGTATATATATATATATATATATAT